CGACACCGGGGTATAATTCAACATTATCGACATGGCCATAGAGTAAGCGAAGACTTTTAGCAACTTCTTCGTCGGGGTTCATGTCTTCAAAAGATTTGTAAGGTTCCAAATTGAGGAAACGACGCAATTCGTTTAAACTACAAACACCCATTTTACGAGCCGATTTAATTCCAAGGATTTCAATCACACGGAGTATTTTTGGAACTCCATTAGCTCCAAATGCACCTTTTATTTATTTTTTTTTTTTAAAAAAAAAGATGACGACGATGATGTTGACGAAAACAATTTTCAAAATGTATTGAAAATACAAAACGGATTCTCACCTGCTACTTGATCTGTGGCATGTACTAATTCCTTGACTAGATCAGTATCACGGAAAGTACCTTTAAGTTCTCCTTCCTTAATACGTTCCAAACCGCCAAAGGTTCGTTTTTCCGGTTCTTTTGGTAACGCTTCACGCCATTCCTTCAATTTACTTGTGAATACCGAAACAGATACCTATATAAACGTTACCAAGAAAATATTTAGCCTTCATTTCCTCTCCATCAATTTTTTTTTTTTTTTTTTTTTTTTTTTTGCATCATCAAAAGTCAAAGCAAATTAACCAACCTCTTCCCCTTCCTTAGGGTAATCTTTACCTAATATCCTCTTAAACTGGTCGTCAATCCATTTGTGATCATCTTCGGAGATTGCTGGATGCCATCTGTAGATGTAGTTAAATTCAAGAGATATCTGATTACCCAAGCCAGTTGGAATCGGGTTAGTCAAGGTGTCCTTTGGAAAAGTTTTAGTAGGATCGAGGTACCAGTCGGATTTAGTCTTATTAAGACCAAGGATAGTATGCAAGTAATCATGAAGAATGGTATGGAGATAGAGGCCGCCATTGACCAATCTTGCTGTTTGGAATAGATTCTCGTCTTGAATTTTGAGTTCCTCTGGGTCGTTTGGATCTTTAACACTGAATCGTTCATTTTCATTAATTTGTAATAGACGTTTAGCTATATAGTTGTGGTTACGCGAGAATAGAACCAATAAACAGCAAACACCGGGAGGTTGTATAATGATTCTTCTGTCAGCAAAAGTATCAGGTTTCAAAAGACCAAGGCGTCCCTGTCTGACGCTCATTTGTTCTTCCAAGTTTCTACCATAAAGTGGTGTCAAGTCCAAGTAAGATGATGTTTGATTTATGTATGGATCTTTCGGTGAAGAATCAAAAAGGTCGTGTGTGATAATAGTTGCCAGGTAAAATAACATTGAACTAATTGATGAAGGATGAGGTTTGAATTTTTTTCGAACCATTAAAGTGTCAAATAAAGTTCCCGGATCGGGAACATTCAAAAGCTGTGGGCGCTCGATACGCACATTTCTTGTATAATATGAATTGGATTTTCCCATCTCAGGGAATGCGCGTGAATTATTTGAACCATCTGCTGAACGATAAAAGTCATTTGCCCACATGTTCGGTGGTTTGGAAATATCTGACCATAGAACCGATATTAAAAGTTTCTCAATTTCACGTAAGAGATTACTGTTTGATGGAAGTTTTGACATAATCTGCACTATCTTTTCCAACTATAATTAAAAGGGAAGGAAAATTTTTAAGCGATTAGGAAGATGTCACTGGTTTTGAATTCAAGAAGTTAAAATTTTAAATTACCTGGAATTGGGAGTCATCCAACGGTTTATTACGCAAGGCGAGCAATTTGAGGGTAAAAACGATATCTTCGACGGATTCTTTGATTCCCAAGGCTTCGATATCCTTGATGAAGCTACCGCTAACTTCTGAACTAGTGAGAGGTTTGTCTAATACACCATCACCTGGTTCAGGTGGAGGAGGTCTACGAATAGCCTTAATGAGATCCGTAAACTTGGAAATACTATCCATAACGCTAGACTTGATATCTTGTTCGCTCATCGTTGATAATTTTGAATTTAAGATGAAAAGTATTTTTTGGAGGATGCGTCTGTATACAGTATATATATCTCTATATTTCTGAATTCAGGTTACAATTACTATTTTTAATGAATGAATCATATCAGTTAAGTTAAAATTTCATTTTCTCATGAACACCATTTAAGTAACAATATTTCAAAACAAATGATGAATAAGACCATTATGTGAAGAAATCAATTACTAAAATTGTGCATCTATTACAATTAAACAGATTATTAAATAGGTTACCTTGTTGGTTTTTTTGTAGTTTAAATTTCTGTTTTTGAATTACGCCCATATCAAATTTTTTGACTCAATGTTAGGTGATTGTGTAACTAGCAGTTGATTGGC